ACTGCACGTGGCTTCAGGCAGTTCATTCAGAATCTTGGGCTTACCATCATTTCCGTCATTGCTGGCATGATACTGGGTATGCGGGGACATTCGTTTTTAGCAGTTTTCTTCATTGCCTGTGTTTCTCTGTCATTTTTATCTGTGGTCTTACTCATTTTGTGAATCATGCCCAGAGTGGGAACCTAAATTATTCCACAAGACAAGGGGAAGAAATAAAATTTTCCCATACTTATTAAGTTTATACTCCAAGAATGTTATGAAAAAAAGAGCAAAAATAAATTTTAAAAAAATATGTTTAAGTGACTGTGTCATGAGAATGGCTTTGCACATCATTGGTTTGAAATTCTCCATTTAAAAACTTTATAGACACTAGAAAAAATAATGGAATGGCAAGTTATATTTATATCCAAATATACCTATTTCACAGTGTATCTGTATGGACTATTTTAGCCTGTGTCTTTTCTTTGTGTGTTGCTGAAGAATTCTACTTTTAATAGGCCAATTAACAATGAAAGGTTTAGAAAATTGCTCGGGAACATCCAGATGAACTTCAGAAAGAACAGTGAAAAAAGAAAAATATTGGAGCTTCTGTTGAGATCATCTTCATTAAGTGTGTATCTTAGGGATACAGCCTTTTCTTTACAGCAGAAAAAAACAATGGCATTGCCACAGGCATTCCCTTTCGTGGTAGGGCATAATGCTAGAAAATACCTGACAATATTTTTATGAAGGCTCCTTCTGTTCACAGCCAGTAGCTTGTGCTCTACTCTGTAGTTATGTGGACTGCTAAGCAGTGACCCTTTTGAATTTATTTCTGTTACTAAGGACCCTAATCTCTTAGGGACACAATACCATAGTACAAACTTTCGGTACCGTTTTTCAAATAGTCTAATTAATTACTACAAAGTGCCCTTCAAATTTTTGACTGTTTACAAAGATAAGTAACAAAACCGCAAAAGGAAAAAAATAAGATATTTGTTTCTTTTTTTTTTTTTTTTTGTTATTATAAGCAATAGAACGTTGAGCACTAACATTTCCTAAGCATAGAGTGTTTACCCTAGAAATAAAACTGCTAAGACCAAATTGAAGTAATTGTTCAAAGTCACTCAATTCAGAAAAGTAGAAGAGTTGGGGAGCTAACCAAGGCAGTCCCCGAAGTCCACGTTCTTCAACACCACAGGATAAATGGTATGGCATTACCATTGATCATTCCATTTCTAAGCAGTGTAGGCACTAGGTTCATTCCCTCCAGAATTTCATTACAGAACAGATGGCTTCTGCCTCTATGTCTTACACAGGACCGCAAAATAATTTTGTAACAGGAATGGAATTTTGCAACTGTAAAGGAATGTAATTCAGAGTTTTGGTTAACTGACTCTTCGTTTTCTATATCCACCCAAGGTAAGGCAATACTACAAAACACATAATCTTAAGATTCTCCAAATTCTTCAAGCCATTGCCAGTGGTTAAAAACAAAATAAATAAAGCATATTCCTTGAACAGACCAGCCACTGGTGATGAAAGGAAAAGAGAGATAAAAGAAGTTATACAGTCACCATTCATTAATACAAATTTATAAATGTTATAATTATCCAGTGATATCTGGGTTTCTTAAACTTTCTGGGTTTTTCTGTTTATTTGTTTAAGACAGGGTCTAGCTCTGTTGCCCAAGCTGGAGTGCAGAGCACGATCTTGGCTCACTGCAGCCTTCACCTCCTAGGCTCAAGTGATCCTCCCACCTCAGCCTCCTGACTGCAGGCATGTGCCAACATGGCTGACTTACTTATTTTTTTTTTGCAGAGACAGGGTTTTGCCATATTGTCCAAGCTGGTCTTGAACTTCTGAGCTCAAGTGATCCACCCTCAGCCTCCCAAAGTGCTGGGATTATAGATGTGAGCCACTGTGCCCAGCCTAAACCTTCTTACAAACCTATTGCCACTTCTATCTGAAATCTTAATTTCTGTGGATATGAGTGGCTATCCATACTGCTTGATAATCAGTTTGAAAACAGCGAGTATACCACACCAGTTTCAGAATGTACATTTCATAGAAAGACCTTAAAGACTACTGTAAGGGAAAGACACATTAATGAAAATAAAAAGATGAGTATGACTGAATTAAGACTTGTGGTAACTATAGGAGTTGTGAAGTAACTCTTGGATGTAGTAGCTTTCAGTTACATAGACTGAAAAGAGTGTGGAGTGCTGTCTAGTGACTAAATAAGGGCTAATGATGGCATAGCGAGATAATCACACGAGCTTTTACAGAACTCTGGTACAGTATTACTTCTATTATCTAATTATACAGCCTTGAATATACAAACCACCTAGGTTTGGGTACCATCTGAGCCTACACTAATTTATTTTCAGTCCTATAACACACACCCCATTCCAAGCCTCTCTTTCCCTTCACAGGCAGTTATTTATACATAAGGTTTGTATGTCCACTCACAACAGTGCACTTCAGTCAGTTCCAAGATGGCCTCTCCTCTCTCCATTCCACTGAAATAACTACAGCAACATCACTACTTCCTGTTAAGACAACACATACTTTCTAGGCATTCTATAAAGTACTTGATTGTTGGCAGCATTTGAAAAGGCCCTTCTCACAAGCCTTTCTTCATTACCCTGTGCCTTCCTTTGCCTTCCTCAGGTCCCGCCCTAGGAGCGTGCTCTCTCTTTCCTGCGCAAAGGCTGCTGATCTCAGAAAGGCACAGTCCAGAAGTGACCACCAGTTTTCTCGGCAGCATGTACACACTCCAGAGGAGCTGCCAGGAATATGGCGGTGATTCATGTCTCAATTCAACAGCCAACACTTTAAAAAATGTATGCCAAACACCAGAAATGGGTTTTTATTAGTGAAAACAAAAAGTGGTTCTCTTTGGTGGAGCTGGAGTTATACAACATACAGTCAGTTATGTGAGGCTTTACAATAGGATTATGATCTGAGAAAGATCTGGGGTGATTTTGTACATTACAGAGTGAACACACCCAAGCCTGTAAGATATGGCCTACTTACACACCTGGGCTTTATGATATAGCCTATTGCTCCTAGGCTGTAAACCTGTACAGCATTTTACTGTACTGTATACTGTAGGCAACTGTAACACAATGGTAAGTATTTGTATATCTAATCCTGAGAGGTTAGGAGTTCGAGATCAACCTGGTCAACATGGTAAAATGCTGTGTCTACTAAAAATACAAAAATTAGCCAGGCATGGTAGTGGGAAACTATAATCCCAGCTACTTGGGAGGCTAAAGCAGGAGAATCACTTGAATCTGGGGAGGCAGAGGCTGCAGTGAGCCAAGACCATGCCACTGCACCCCGGACGGAGAGACAGAGTGAGACTCCATCTCAAAAAATTCAGTGAGGCCCTTAGAATTGAGTTCCAATCTGGATTCCTAACCAATGCCCCATACAGACATCTGTTTAGCAGAGTTTTTCTTGTTTTCATGTACATAATACAAGGGTAACCAGATTCTGTCGCTGAAATGTTGCTGTGTCTTCACTGGGCTCACATCCAAGGTGTGATAAGTGATAAGGATTTGGCTGCATCAAACATCTTTTGGTGAAAAAAGTGTCAAGAATTTTGCTTTCAAATAACAGTAAGGTTACAAGGAAACACAAAATGGTCTTCAATGGCTACTGTTATCTGTCAAAAACCTTAATCATGTGGGGTGACAAAATTTAGTTATCTCAGTTTGTAAAACTTATCAATGCAAACTACCATCAGGAAACACAACAGCAAAAATTCTGACTGGCAATAGTTATCACAGACACCAATGTCCACAGTACGGCTCAACTCTGTATGTATCAGCCTGGCCTGGCATAGAAATAGCTCCAAATCTTCCTTTCCATCTGCTGTTTTCTGTGGAGGAAAAGAGCTACAAACTTAGAAAACCTAAAAACAACTACTTGACCATCACCAATAAAATGTTTGACGTGTCCAAATCCTTATCCACTTAGCACCACTGAGATCAAGGCTGAGTGAGGAGGTCTAGTCCAGACTTGAAGAAACTCAGATCTAGATCTGTCCCTGTCACTCAGTTGTATGGCTTTGAGAAGGCCACTTCATTTCTTTCCCCAATACCTCAACTGCTATAAAAAACAGAAACTTGTACCAGTCACCAATGTAAGCAAGTCTGGATGCATCTTACAAAACAATACATGTTAGTAAATGTAAGTTAGTCTGCAAACACTCAGAGCAGAAAAGAAGACTGTGGTCTTTGCATCTAGAAATGTACTACACAAAATATTTTTTAAATTCTACCTCTCTTCTACTGTTCTTGAATACCACTACATTATTGTCTATCCTTAAGTCACTGTTTTAACAACTAATAGCCAGTCAATAGATTATCATACAGTCTAAAAATAACTTTCAATAAATTAGGAGAAAGTGACCATTAGTTTAGTTTAGGATAAGAACACCTAGATTCTAACCAGTATTCAGTAGGGACCCAATTAGAGAACCACAAAAATAATCAATCTTAAAAATTCTCCTTAGCCTTCTTAAGACATTGATGTATATAATACACTCTCTATAAAAACGTCCAAAAACACATAACTCTCCTGCCTCCTGAGCTCAAGTGATTCTCCTGCCTCGGCCTCCTGGGTAGCTGGGATTACAGGTGTGCCACCACGCCTCACTAATTTTAATATTTTTAGTAGCGACAGGGTTTCGCCATGTTGGCCAGGCTGGTCTCAAACTCCTGACCTCTCAGGTGATCCGCCTGCCTCAGCCTCATAAAGTGCTGGGGTGCAGCCGTCAGTCGCTGCACCTGGCCTGAAACTATTGCTTTTCATAGCAACAGATCTTAGACATTAGAGCTTCAAGCAGAACACAAAAACCCTTCAATGATCAATTTCAGTACAAAGGATGCTGAACAGAGCCATTTCTCCTGCTCCTTAAAAAATAATTTCGTTTCAGTTTGCCAAAATAGTTTTGAATTCAATGAATTAAAAGGGCTCCATTTTGAAGATGTCAGTTTCTTTATACTTACTAAAGTGTATCTGGAGGGCCAATAATAAGGACTTCCCATCGGTAGAGATCATTGTCATCTATTAAACCTGCAGAAAAGCCTTCCACTGGATTTTTGTTGAGTTCTGTGGAAAAAGAAAAGTTTATTTAATACATTTAAGCATATAATTTTCATCCAAATTATGGAACTTGAACATACATGTTCAGGGAAACCATTAAATGCATGCACCTTGCCAGGCAAAATGCTGCTTGATGGCCAAAGCATTTTCACGTCTATACTGTGAGGAAGCCCTGGGTAAAGCAAACTAACCAGAAGATCAGCTTCTACTGGTGTCCACCAGCCAGGCTCTTGTCATTCTAGGTGCCCCTACAGTGGTTTTCTAAGAAACCCTGTTAAACTGCAGATATCCAGGCCCATCCCCCGAAGATTCTCATTAAGAGGGAGCCCCCGAAATCAAATCAAGTTGGCAATTCTTATGCTGCTGTCTTTAGGGCATACTTTCAGAAGCTTCAACAGAGTATCTAATCATACCTTTTCATTGGAATGTACTGAGCTTAGTAACTTTCATTTATACTACCACTTGTATACCTAACTGACATGTCCCAATAGTCTTGGGGGCCTGCTTCTACAGTTGGTGCTCCTGTGTGCCCATCCATCTTTAAGCACAAGGAGGGCAGAAGCCCCATATGTCTTGCCTGTACACGTTGACCCTCTGAGAGACACAGCTCCTAGGACACAAGGGCAGCTTAAGAGTAACAGCTGGAGTATACAGGAATGGCTGTAGCATCATGAGGTTGTTCTCTTCTAAAGAGAGTGCTATGGCATGCAGAAAGGTTGACAGAGCGGGAAACAAGAGAGGCGAGGAACTAGCTAGGTGGGGGCACACTGGCCAAGACAGGGACCTTAAGGAGCAGGTGAGGAGGCGTACAGAGCCCAAAAGGTTTCCAGAGACACCAGGATTAATAAAATACTGGCCTACTGATGGTGAGTAGATCATGTGAGGAACGTTTAAGCAGCTTTAATGAGGTATAACTGACATTCGGTGACTGCACGTACTTAAATTACACAATTTGGCTGGGTATGGTTGCTCACGCCTGTAATCTCAGCACTTTGGGAGGCTGGAGCGGGTGGATCACTTCAGGTCAGGAGTTCAAGACCAGCCCGGCCAACATGTTGACACCCTGTCTCTACTGAAAATACAAAAATTAGCCGGGCGTGGTGCCGTGCACCTCTTGCCTCAGCCTCCTAGTTACTCAGGAGGCTGAGGCAAAAGAACTGCTTGAACTTGGGAGGCAAAAGTTGCACTGAGCCGAGATCACACCACTGCACTCTAGCCTAGGTGACAATGCAAGACTCCATCTCCTCCACAACCAAAAAAAAAAATATTTAGTAAGTACTGACATATGTATACACCACAGGAACCAACACAACAATAATCACAAAAGTGAATGCACATATCAGTCACCCACAAGGTTATCAAATGTTTTACCTGTCAGGGGAACTGAGTACTCATTGGCTCAAATTGGAAAGTGGGGACAAAGAACACACAAGTGAGTGGTTTGAAAAGAACTTGCTGGGACTCTAAACAGGTAATTCTCATGTACTACCTGCCATCATCCTCAAGCAGCTTTGTCTAATGATGAAAGTCAGTATAATACAACTCAGAGTGCTACAAAGGATTGAGCCAATGTGTAGGTCACTGAGGAGATACTAAATTTCTTTTTTTTTTAAGACGGGGTTTCACCATGTTGGTCAGGCTGGTCTCGAACTCCTAGCCTCAGGTGATTTGCCTGCCTCAGCCTCCCAAAGTGCTGGGATTACAGGCATGAGCCACTGCACCTGGCCTATTTTTTTTTTTTTCTGAGGAGATATTAATCTTTTGGGCAATCAGAAATGGTATTACTTCAACAACATGCCAGCAAAACATAAGAAAGCCAATAGTGAAAATTTATGTTTAGGCCAGACAAGGTACCTCACACCTGTAATCTCAACACTTTCAGGAGGCAGAGGTCAGGAGTTCAAGATCGGTCTGGCCAATGTGGTGAAACGCTGTCTTTACTAAAAATACAAAAATTGGCCGGGCATGGGGGTGCACACCTGTAATCCCAGCTACTCAGGAAGCTGAGGCAGGAGGATCACTTGAACCCAGAGGCAGAGGATGCAGTTAGCCGAGACCACGCCACTGTACTCCAGCCTCGGTGACAGTGTGAGACTCCACGTCAAAAACAAAAATAAAAAATTTATGTTTAAACATGAAATGCTTCTTTTCTTGAAATTTGAGGGGAGATTTTTATAAATCTAGTATTTTTGGATAACAGACAAACTAGATTTTATAAATAGCTGAAATCAGTGCTGTATTACAAAACACAATAAAGGTATTTTTACTTTAAAGTGGCTAATCTAACATACTTTTTAAGATGCTGAAAGTACAAACACGTCAAGATGGGAATAGCATTCTCGTTATTTCGTTTATGCACACGTGTACTGAGCGCCAACGATGTTGCAGACATTCTCATAAAAAACAGGAAATTCCACTTTACTGTCAACTGAGCGATGGACTGGAACACACACAATTGCACTGTGAGCAGTTATTTTCTACCTGAGTTATCTCATTTCCAACTTTTTTCTAGATAAACACACCACATTACTCGGACCACTTTCTACAACACTGTACATAGGAGTTTTGTGGAAGATTCTATAATATATCCAGAAATTACCTAGTTGCATTTTCCACCGGAAGTCCGGGGTTTATAAACATAGGTAAGCTCTGAAATTAGTATATATGGTCAAAATTATCCTTGAAAAATTCATTACACTTTCCATAAAGTATATCATTGCTTCTTATTCTTGTCAAAACCCCCAAGTTCTTAAAATCTTTTGCCCATTCCCTCCATGCACTTCTTTCACCAGCATAATTGTGTCCTTTGCTTGTTCCATGTAAGTAATACAAAAGCCATGATGAAAAATGTCCAACATGTCACTTTTGTCATGGCTTCTGCCCTCAGCATGATACTTCCTAGGTCTACATGCATGAATATTTAACAGGCTTAATCCACCTAAAGTGATAGAACCTTACCATACCTTCATGAATGCCTCCTTCAAGGTCCATATCTATACTAGCCCGCTCCCATGAAGTCTTCTCTAAATAATTTATCAAATAATCTTTTGACTTCTGCTAAATTCCTACTGATTGTACTTTCAGTCTGTCTGTATCTTCTGACACGTGAGTAACAGCAGCTCCTGATTCCCAGAGAAGTAAATGGGCAATTACAATGTGCTCCAACAACAGGACAAGAATTTGGGGGCACACAAAAAAGAAGGGCACATAACATAGCCATGAAGAGTAAGAAAGGCCTTCTAAAAAGGAAAAAAAATAAAGGATCTGGGTGAGGGAATGCAAGGTTTAGAATCTAAACTTCTACATAGAGGAGCACATACAAAAACTTGAAATAGGGCAATCAGTATATGACTGGAATGGCAGGGGGCAGGGGAGCAGCTGAAACTAAACAGAATGTCAAAAGCTGGACAGCAAAGGGCCTTTGTAAGCCCTGCATGCTTGGACCTTATCCAGAGGGCAATGATAAGCCTTTGAAGGGTGGTTCCTTTTTTTTTTCTTTTAAACAATGGGGTGACCTCATGAGATTTACATTTGTAAAAACCAATCCTGCAGTATGTAGAAGATTATATAAATAAGGCACAATGAGGACAAACAAACAGCAAACGATTAAAGTAATCCTGAAAAGCGTACATCAAGTATACAGTAGTAGAAACAATGAAGAAAAAGGGTATTTAGAAGATAGAATCAATCAACCTAACTTGGTGATGTTACAGTAGTGGGGCTGAAAGTATTGTCAAAAATGACATATGAGCTGGGCATGGTGGCTCAGTCCCCAACACTTTGGGAGGCTGCGGTGGGCAGATCGTTTGAGCCAGGAGTTTGATACCAGGCTGGACAACATGGCAAAATCCTGTCTCTACCAAAAAAAAAATACACACACACACACACACACACACACACACACACACACACACAAATTAGCCAGGCATGGTGGCATACACCTGAAGTCCCAGCTACTCGAGAGACTGAGATGGGAAGATGGCCTGAGCCTAGGAGGCGGAGGTTGCAGTGACCTGAGATGACACCGGGGCATCCAGCCTGGGCAACAGAGCCAGATCCTGTCTCAGTTTAAAAAAATAATTTTTTTTTTTTTAAAAAAAGGAAAATGGTAGCCGGGCGCGGTGGCTCACGCCTGTAATCCCAGCACTTTGGGAGGCTGAGGCGGGTGGATCACGAGGTCAAGAGATCGAGACCATCCTGGTCAACGTGGTGAAACCCCGTCTCTACTAAAAATACAAAAAATTAGCTGGGCATGGTGGCGCGTGCCTGTAGTACCAGCTGAGGCAGGAGAATTGCCTGAACCCAGGAGGCGGAGGTT